AATCAAAGCAGAGTGCCGAGAATGTGGCTCACGCGTTCATTCATTCAATTTGAAACAGCACGAGACAGAAATTATCCGGAAAATTTGCAAGCAAAGCGAGAAAAGCGGCTGACAGTAAACACGTTTGAACCTGTAGCCTGAAGCCGTAGCCGAGCCGTTACGACACGCAGCTTGCGCGATGTTGCCAACTGTTGTCGATGAAGTTCTTTTGTGGCCGCGTTCGCAAACGTATCTTTTTAAGAACAGAACTGTAAGTCTGAATCTTTATAATTTATTAATAATTATTTAGCAGTGCTCTGAGTCTCTAATTCACTAATTACGTCGTGTTCAGTTGGTCTCTTTGTGAGGTTGGCGTCAGTTGGTACGACCATGGCGGACGGGGCGGATAACGACGACAACAACAACAACAACAAACAGGTGCTTACCCTCGCGTAATAGCTTTCAAGGGCTAGTATCACTTTATCTGTCGATTGAAAAAGTACACCATACGAAATGTGAATATTTATCGCATCTTAGCAGGAAATACTTACCTGCAATCAGACAATATTGTCGCGTCGTTCGAATCCTTTTGTGGCGGGTGTTCTGCTGTGGCCTGGGTGGGTGTACTTTATAATTTATTTTATTGGTTTATTTTTTTATATTCTATCCGTCTCGGTGCGACCAATGTGTGACGACAATCATATATTTCTTATTTGCCCATGTCATTGTGAACCATGTCTTCAGCGCGTCCCATAGTTACTTTAATGTTCCCTCTTTGTGGATGCTATGCCAAGGTCTTATGTGTTCAGGGTTATCTTCTTCTCCAAGCCATCACTCATTTATTTTCTAAAAAATATGGAATATTTTCAAATTTTTTCAGGCTTGCAAGGTTGTGTTTGACACCTTGGGGCTAGACTCAAGGCTCTGCTCAAAATGAAATAATAGTGGCCCTATAGTTTGCGTTGCTCTATTACAAAGCATGGTTCAAGCTGTTGATATTTGTATGCCCATAGTTCATTTCTACTGCAATGACACTCAGATATTGTGAGGAGTTATTGTCGTTTAAGTAGAAAGTTTCACTTGTTACCAATGTAATAACTGTCTGTTTTTGTTTCCCTTTTCAGCCCTCATCCGGCACGCACTGTTTGATTATCCTAGGGTTGGACGATGTGGATTGAAGCATATCCTCTAGTGTGCCTCATGTGTGAATCACTCACGTATTTAGCTTGCTCTAAGTACAGCAAGTGCAACATCAGATCATCTTTCAAGAAAGGTGCAGGCTCTCAAATGGTTTACATTCAGGCAAGAAGCCGTCCAAGGCTTCGGTCCAAGCAGTGCCACGATTTGAAGGTGAATCAATTCTTCTATACTTGTATGTGTCTGAATGCTTCTTCATAAGTTGAATGAGTTAACAAATTTTTTGCCTCTGCTCTGAGGGAGAGAAAGAGAGGGACCCAAGTGAGAATGGAAATCATGCCTCCTTGTGTTGTGGTAAGTTGCTGACATACTTTCCTCTTCAAGGGCATTTGCCACTGAAATGTTTTGTTCTGTTTTTAACTACCTTGTATGTACTAGTTGGTGACTGAACTATTGCTTCTGTCAGAAAGTCAAGAAATACAATCATGCTGCGCAGTATTGTTCCAGCATTGCTCCAGGGTGTGTGTGTGTGTGGTGAGTTCTTCTTTTGAGTTCTACCTTCTTTAAAACAAACAACTGCCTTATTAATGTTTTCCTTTTTTAATTTTAAACAGGAGTCAAAGTGTCTCTTCAAAAACTTTGAGGTCGCTTTTTGGATATGACCTTGATCCTATTTGCTGGTTGGAAAGTGCTGAAGACATACCGAATTGCATGTGCTCTTGTTTGTACAGCCCTCTTAGGTGGAAGAGGGCATGGAAAGAAACAAGTCCCTGGATCGGCACATGGGCGAGTAAGTAGCTCCAATAAGGATTGATCCCACCCCCTTATTTTCATTTGTTTTTGACCAGCTGCTTTTAATATATGGAATAAAGAATTTCCCTTCCTCTTGATTACGTGAAAAAAACCTTGCCAAGAATTTACCAAATAATTATGGTTGTGAGGATTGGGATTGTCATTTGGAGCGCACTCTTGTTTTTCATTTCCTAATTGTGTGTAGTGGAGTAAGTGGCCTCAGTATAGTGGTCTACTTAATTTCTTTGGAGTGCATGACAAAAAATTAATTTGTTGTTTTTGTTTGTGTTAAAGAAAAGCTCATTCTTTCTTCTTGCCCTTAAAATGACAACAATATGGAAGTTTCAGTGCTGCAAGAGATATCTTATGCCTTCTAACAGTCAAAATGGAGACCTGGATGTATTCACTCTGTTCTTATCTGTACCAGGAGTCTTAGGTATTTCTTATTTTTCATGCCTCTTTATTTTCAAAATTATTATCTGTGCTGTTGTCTTCATTCATTTCTTCATAATTTTTTTCTCTCTCTCAGGTGATTTGCTGCCCACTCTCTGTACAACTCTGCAAGGATTAGAGGATGTGGATTGAATAATTCATGCTTTTGTGCTGCATGTGGGGATCCATCTGACCGAATTAGGGTGGACAACCAACTTGTTGTGCATTGATGCAAGAAGGTGCTTAGGCTGTGAATTGATAAGATTAAGAGCCTAATGCAGTCACTGCTCTGTTTTGGGCTGTTGTGTGGTTCACAGGTGACAAATTTCTGCAGTAATTTTATGTTTCATTCTCATAACAGTTTATTCAATGTTTCACCACTCTTAATTATTCCCTTTTAGGTGCTTTCTTTGTGTGCTTCACCAAAATTTTCATCTACAGCTGCTCTACGTCAGACAAGAAGTTGTCTCCTCAATTGCACATGTATATTATCTGTACTGTATTGAAGGCTGTTGGACTCTGTTCACTTTGTGTGTAAGTAAATTTGTTGCAATCTCTGCCATAGCACAACCAATTCCTCGAGTGATTTGTAAGTATGAATTATTTCATGTTATTGATAAAACAATCCCATTTGTCAGGCGCAGCTTTGTGGTGTACTTGACTTCACTTAATACTGTTGATAATTCTGTGCCTTTTTTTCTGCAGATACTGTGTCCAAGTGAACCACAGTTTGAAGAAGCCAATGGAATACGAATTAGTCAGTCTTCAGTTTTTCTATCATCGGTGACTGGGACTTGATGAAGGTCAAGCAATTTTTCTTCCATCCCCCTCTTCATGTAAGTATTATTATCAATAGGAAGAGTATTTTTTGAATAATGTGACGCTATTAGGTGCTTGTTTTTTATTTTGTTTTCAAAAGGACCAAAACCATATTTCCCTTTTTTATTAGAACTTATGACTGCCCTTTTCAAGCTTTTGTGTAAAAGGCTGTATATTAATGTAGTAGAGACTTTGTTTCATGGTGTCTCTGTGGTAATTTAAGCAGAACATCTAAGATTAAGATTGCTTTTAAAGGTTTGGTTCAAAACTTTATGTTTTCCTTTTCTTTGCATATTAGATATGTGTATGACATGTATACATATCACAAATTTGTAAGAGATAAGTTGAATATTATATAACAGGGAGAGAATCAAAGAGCATAAGCTATAATAAAACTAACTCCTTATGTTGGACTAATGTCTGCCTTAGACTGAAGTTTGGTCTTGAATAATGGACAAAGAAATTTCAAAAGATCCACAACCACCGGTATACACCATGCTTTGCCGAGAAGTTTTCTCCTATCCGTGACAGATAGATTAGGTCCATCAGTGTAATGTGAAGGAAAACCAAACAGTTGTTCTTGTTCTGTAATGTACAGATGTGATGGAACGCCCTCTTCTGTCACTGGCAGACATTGTTCTCTCCCTGATAATATGAAGAGAGGAAATCAAGGTTTAAAGACCAAATTGGTTTGCAGCTTATATCATGATAAAAGTTTCTTACCACTTCGCTGAGAATGGGAGTTCGTAGTTAGAGTGGGCATACTATGAACAGTAGCTTCTCTGTATGGCTTTAGGAAATACTGTAAATTGATGCCGTCTCTGTCGCTTTCTTCAATGCTTTGTGATGGGAAATTACCCCAAAAGAACCGTTTTCTTTTCATTGGCACAAATTGAGAAGCACATCTGACTACAGGTGAACACTGCAGATAACTAAAATGCGTTTTAAGGAAAATAAATAGGATTACTATACAGATGTTATTAGTTTGTTTAGTAAAAAAGGGATGAGTCCAGGAGCTTTAATGAAGTATGAGAGACAAATGGTTTTCATAATATAGATAAATATGTACCTTGACATTTGTTGTTTGGTTCCTAATTCCATGGAAGAGGTATTTTCAAACATCCAGTAAAACTGATGACCCTTTTCTTTAGCAGATTTGGTGAGATACTGTAGAATTCGATGATATTCAAAGAAAAGGTGACCGGAAGAAGAGGGATCTGCAACAGACCGAGTAACAGTTTGGGTCCTATACATTGTGCAGCATCACATTGCACATAAAATCATAGAATTCAGTTACCGTTGAGGCCCTTGCGTGCTGGATTCACCAAACTAAGTTCTGCACAAGGTGATCCACCACATAATAAATTGATGACACCAAGAGATGCCAGTTTGCCTTCAGTAAGGTTTTGTACGGGTCCCAACATTTTTATTCTATCATGATAGTGGAATCGCAGCAATTTAATAGCTTTCTCATCAATCTCAGAAGAATAAAATGCTTCTACATCAAGATTTAACTTATCCAAAGCAACCAAAGCACTTCCGATACCATCAAAGAGCGAAAGTACTCTAATTGCAGGTAATGGTGGGTTTTCAAAACCACAAAAACCTTCAATGAAACCATCTTCATCGGCCTTAACCTGGGGAAGGGAAACAGTCACTGTCGTGCCTAAATATACAGGTTAGGTATCAATTGAAGAGTAAAACAGCACTTACTAATCCTTTGTAGGGTTTGCAACCTTTCTTTGGTTTTGAAAAATGCTTCCTGTATCCCCTTTTCCTCTTCTTGTACTTTCTTTCTCTTGCCATTGCACCCTCTGTTACTGCCTGGTTGCCATGGGAGCCATACTGAATAGTGCAAGTGCACACACAGGAATACCACAAAACTGCAGTCACACATTGTACCGTACGGAGTATGAGTTTCAAAAAAGAGGGCAGTGCAGTTGTAAGTGCCATGGACTATATAAAAACCCTTTTAAGAGCCTGTTTTTAAAATTTATTCACCAAATGGCACTGAACGAATCGCTTTACCAGCACAGACAGAAAAAGTCACACTCTTGATCTTTCTCAGGGTGTGCAATTGCCTTTAGAAAGCAGTGGAACACTGCGCATGTGATACACTGATAGTCAATGCATAAGTATAAAAACAGAAAAAAGTGCAATTTGTCCAAATACATGGAGTGACTGCAGTCTTGACTTGGCTAAGCCAATACTTCTCTCCCTGGTTGTCCTTTTTTATTGTGTTTTATTAAAATGTAATAAAATATTCACTGTTGTAAATGTAATAACGGTGTTGTGACATTTTACACCACATGACTTGTAAATTTTCTTATTCGTTTTCACAGTGAACTTCTCATTTAGGGTTGATAATGGTACCCTTTGCCAACCCACAAAGTTTGAATTGATTCCGTGTCCCAATTATAGATTTTGGTTCACGTTGTAGTGCAGTTAATATCTTATTTTCATAATATATTGGACCATTTGAGCACTTTTCTAGTTCTTTAACTCTTTCATTTCTCATCCAAACCCTTTGAAATGAGTTGACAATTTTTGTTTGTCTTTTTAAGACAAATCCATTTTGTGCTAAGAGATCTCAATTTGGACCACTTTAAAAATTCACTCAAATCCTTTAGAATGAAACTAAGACATCCTCTCAGCATTTCACCCAAACAAACTCAAAAGAGTATGTGTTCATTGCCTATTTTAATTTAGATATTTTTCTTCTTACAAAACAGCTGCTTTAATTTAAAGGTTTTCTTCTTTGTTTGGTCTGATCCTTTTGTGTCTCTTTAATTATTACATATGTGTAGTGCTGCAGTCTACTCTCTTCAACAGCTAATGGTTGTTAGTCATATGATGGTCTCTTCTCTCGACATGTTACAGAGCATCCCTTAATGGATATGGACCTCATTGATCCTTGGAGAAGTCTTTATCAAGCAAGCAGGTGAGACGCATGCTACATTTATAAATTTTGTAAATCGTTATGATAATTTGGATTTTTTTAATGTAATCAAAACCAAAATTAAAAGCTTTAATAGAATAGCGTCTAACATTCTGGTTTGTTTCTGCTGCTGCATCTTAATGAGACAAAAGTACAGCTTCTCACAAGCATTATTTTACCCGCTTATATTCAAAGAATAATGTGTGTTCATTGTCCAGTTCTGGTTGGAAATATCTCTCATGACAAAATGGCTGAATTATGTCAAGGCTTTCTTATCATTGTTTATGCTGTCAAGATTTAAAGTTGTAACATGGCATGAAGCAAAAATATGATATGGTCAGTGTTAACTTCAAAAGACTCCAGATGACTGTCTCCACATCACTCATGATGCTTTATCTAAGTGCTTGGTGGCCATGCAACACAAGCAAAGAGAGTTTACATTGTAAAGTAAAAAAGACATAAATTTTGTGAATAATTTATTGACAGTCAATCAAAACTAATATAATATGTTTGAATTTCTTTTAATTATTTTCTTTTATTTAGAGAAGTTCCTCAGATTGGGTATGAGTGAAAAATTTCTAAATGCATCTCTGTTCACCATTTTTAATACTGATGCCGTTGAATTGAGCTTCACAATTACATTTGGTATCTATAGCCATTATTGCAGTTTTTGTATGTTAAGTTTTTCCATTATGACCTTTCACAACCAGGATAACAGTTTTTTTCTTTAATCGTTATTTTATGCCCACATGTGTAGATCTATTCATATCCATAGTTACTTCCAAATAGAAATTTTCTGTAGTTCTTGTTGATTGAGTGACCGTTTTACTTGGCCCAAAGATATTAACTGTGTTTTTTGTGCCCTGTTTCAGCCCTCAGTCACCACTCTCTGTTTGACTTCCAATGGAATAGAAACATACTCACTTGTGTGCTTCATGTGTGTATGAACAGACTCACGTCATGTTACATGACAAGCCTGGCCAAAGGACAATAACTGTGTCATTCGAAGTTTAACTTCTGCGAGGAAAGATCAAGGCTGTCAAATGATAAATGTTCTGACGAGAATTCAGTCACGGACTTGTTCTAAGCAGTGCCAGGATACAAAGGTTGGACCAAGTCTCTTTGGAATTTTCCTTTTTTTACTATGTGTTCCTTCCACGACTTTCCTCAGTTTATTATTTCTATGGTCTAGGTATGTAGTTCAACAGGCGCCACCATAGTCCATCCATGCAAGAACCAAATGGTTCCAGGATATAGAAAGCAGTTGTCCCTTCTTGTGCTCTGTGACACTTTTCAAGCCACCTTCCTCCTAATCCCAGTAAGTAGCATGTTGCTGTTCGAGAATTTAATATAACCATTCTTCCACTCTTGTTTTTTTATTGCTTTCACACACCATTACATGGCTGTAAATGGATGTTTGTTCTATCCACCCATATCTCAGCATTCCTCCCACAAAAGAGAATGGGTATTAATTGCATAGTTGTTTGGATGTTTCTCTTATTACAAAGTGACTGAATTACAGTATATCAAGGTTTTCTTTTTGTTGCTAAAATTCAAAGGTGAAATATTTCTTTTGTACAATGTTTATGTTTCTCGTCGCTTTTTAAAGTGTTGTGAATTTATTGCATCTGTTATGTCAATATTTTGGTGTTTCTCCTTTTACTCAGGTTGTCTATTGATCATGTTCAAGTTATTGTAGAGATAGAGAGAGACACTCAAATGAGAATGAAAATCATTCCTCGCCATGTAGTGGTGAGTTTCTAACATACATATCTTTTCAATTGCATATACCACTTAATTGTTTCATTTAATATTTGACATTCCTGTTTGTTCCAGGTTCAAAGGAAGGATCATAAGCCACCTCACTCGACTGTAGTGGACCTCAAAACTGCCAGTACTTGCCTCAAGGAACAAGAAACATGCCAACGCTCTGTGGAACTTTTTGATTATCATCGATTTTCTCTTCCAATTAAATAAGATTTCTTTGTGTGGCTGCAATATGGAATAAAGGGAGCCAAGGCTTTATGGAACTTCTTTGTTATCTGAACTGTTCTTTCTTTACACACACTCCCATCATGACCACTGAGTTGGTTGAAAAAATATTGCTGCCAGATGCGATTATAAATTCAAACCACTTTGGTCTGAACAATGTTAATTGGTGAATCCCAAAGAGAAGCACAGCATGACGAGTCTTGCATCAGCTGGAGTTAATACTGTCTACTTTGGCTGTCAATTCTGAAATGTTGATAATCAAGTTTCAGAACGCAGATCTCTAAAGACTGCCTGATGAAACACAACGTTCAAGTGCTGGCCAAAAAAAAGGCCTTCTCCTTTACCTGAAGTTGATGGCAAAGTGGAGGAAGGCTCTACTAAAGAAGGTCTAAGAATGAAAAATATTGATAAACAAAAGTAAGGTATCCCAAATGTTATATAGCTATCCTGATGACACCCTCACTTTAAACTGTACTACTCTGAATATATTCTCACAGATAATCTACAGTCCAGCTCTAATCGCTGTCGCTTCTTATTGCTCGTGATATCACATATCACACCATCCCATTCCTGGATGAGTTCAATAGCCCAAAACTATACCACCTTACACACATGTGCAGCAGGCACTGATACAAAGAATAATTTCAGAAATAGTGTGGTCCAAGCTGCTTGACAGCTGAAATTAATGTTTTCACTATTTCATTATTGGTAGCTTTGGCTATCACAAGAAATGAACAAGGATGTAAGAAAAGATGTCAAAATTCAGTTTTATTAAAAAACATCAGGATTTCACAAACACATAATTAAAGTATGCAATATGCAATAATTACATTACCAATTAACGCTTATTTAACATTACCAAATAATGTTCGTTACATACATAAATTGCATCAAAGAAATAAAAGAAATAAAATATACCAATTAACGCTTATTTAACCTAACCAAACATTACCAAATAACGTTCATTAGGTACTTGCATCAAAGAAATGAAAGAAATAAAAGAAATAAAATAATGACAAAATAATGACAGATAAAAATAATATCAACTGATACCAAGAAGTAATTTATTATGAAAGCAGGTACAAACCGCTATAGATACGAAGGACAATGCATGGTATGTAATTATTGTCCTTTGTACCTCCTTTCATGATAAAAAATTACTTCGGTACCATCAAACACTGTATTACAGTGATAGCACCGATTGTTAGCAGCCAGCCACTGAGTGGCATGTTCAAGGCATGCGTTGGCACAGAAGCAAGGCAGGCATTGCACGACTTCAGTGAAGGCCGTCAATGGCTCTAGTTCAATGGAGCAGATGTGCTGTTCACTTCTTCGAACCTCGTTTTGGGATGTCTGTAAAAGAAACAGTATTAAAACAAGATTAGACAACCTACATATGATTGATTAGGCGAATAAAATTTATTACCATATCTATATTAAGGTCTGGTAATGAGTCACTTTCATCAGTATCTGGAGAGTCACTGACTACTACTATAACTTCAGACTCATTGGCTGCACAAACAAACAAAGAATATCCTACGTTTCTGCCAAGACAACAAAATTTAAAAAAATTGCATAAAGTTCATTGCACTTACAGAAATTAATACTAGGCCGCTGCTGAGCGACAGGGGCTTCATCTGCATCATCCTCGAGGCTCCTCTGGCCTCGGCGCTTCCGTGGCTGCTTACCAGCCCGCTGTTGAGCGACAGGGGGATCATCTGCATCCTCATCCTCATCCTCCTGGACTCGGCGCTTCCCTGGCTGCTTCTGAAAGAATTTGCAGATTTACCATCTCAGGACATGATAATTGAATAGTTGAGAGAATAATTAACAAATGTAGAAAAAGTGTTACGGGAAGTCTTTGAACAAAGTTAAA